GTATTTAATAAAGCAGTATAAAATATAATGACTTTAAGTTACAATAAATATTCGATTATTTTTTATTTACTACTGTTTAACTTATTGTATCGAAACTAGTTACAATAATATAGGTTGTCAAAATGTTAGTTTAGGTAAAAAATGTGTGTTAGACACTCGTTTTTTTTCATATTTTGAGGGACAGAATATTTTGAAAAAAAGTATAAGCTTGTTAAATTTTTAATTAATTTAATGTGTCAAAATTCATAAATTAATTATAAGGTATTCAAAGTCAAACTTACAACTAACTTTAATTTGTATACATATTTCTAACTAATAAACCACCTTATATATTTTAACGTTGAAATACCTGTTTTATTTTAGCGTTGTCAGTTATAAAAAGTTGAAGAGTATAAAACATAGAATATTAGTTCACTAAGTAACTAAACACATAAGTAACTATTATCTATAAGTAATTAATTAGTAAACTTACTTATAGTTTAAGATATTATAGTTAAAATTTAAAAGCAAGAACTAATAAAAAATGCAGAATTATAAATATTTAATTAATAATAGGTACACAATTATTCACACAATACATACTCGTATGTATATGTTTAAAATCTCTATTTAGCTTCAATGATAATAGTAATATAATATTATGTGCGATTAAATAAATTAAGTAGACATTATAATAATAATATATACCTACTAATATTTGACTTCAGTTATCGATTTGATATGGAAGACTTTATTATTATACCATTTGATTTATGATTTTTAGAATAAAATTTATATTTTTAAATAACCAACATCGTAACATTATATGCATACAAAATTTATACGAATATAATTCATAAAAATATTTAGTGATTAACATTTAAAATTTGTGAACTAATTGCACTAAAAAACATTACAATCTCTAAAAATACAGTATAACATGAACTATAAATATAAAAATCTATTAAGTGTAAAAATTTAAATTAATAATATTATTAATTTAGAATTAAGTACATACAGAACATGTAAAATATTTATAAAACAAAAAATAATACATGAAATGTATGTTGAAAATCTTGATTAAAAGATATTATTAAAAATATCAAGAAAAAATAAAAAAAAAAAAAATCTAAAAGGCCAATAAAGACTTAATAATTCAAAGATCCCCAGGTTAATTTTAGTTAGAATAAAAGTTTAAAATTTATTAGAACCTAATTTTAATTTTGTGTTAAGAAACAATATTTTATAGTAAGCTAAAAATAATGCATTTTATATTTTTTTACAAAAAATTTACAGTCCTAGTAATAATCATTATTTATAATATATCCACAACATCTATGTAAATATAAAAAAGTAAAAGTATAATATTTATCATTATCTCATTAGAAAATTAAAATCACATTAACTAAACAAATTTATAAATATTTCTTAAAAACTATATGTCTTGAATTTATTTTTTTTTTTAATTCAAAATAATTATTATTTTTTCATGTTTGAATTGTTGATGCATCATTACATTAATATTATAATAATTAAGTGTAATATTTTTATTTAAAAACAAACATTAAAGAACTAACTAGATAAATATTATACTCTATTTAAACCCGTTACTGATTATCTATATAAAACATTTGGCTTATTCTCTTTGTCGGAACACATGCATGGCCACTCACATACTTTCAAGGTGTTGTTTATACAAGCATTTTCAAGATATAATATGTGACCGAATGCCAATATTTAAACACCGGAAATGAAAAAATCAGATTTTAAATAAAATAAGTACGAGTATATAGTCTTTGCTTAGGTACTTAGGGAAAAAATGAAGCATTAAATTAATACTTTAATTTGATTTTACTATAGTTTAATACGTATAAATGTAATATGTGTTATATAATAATTTCTTAATTATTTGTCTGTGGTGATAAAATTATAATACAAACCTTTTTTTTATTTCATAATACTATAATATTATTTTAAACTTTTTTATTAGATCACAGATTATGAAACGCTAGTCTAATAGTTAAACTTATTATTTTCACTATACATTGGTATTATTTATTTTCAAACACTTATTCTGTGATGTTATATTATCAATTATAATTAAAATATTTTTCCAAATTTACATTTAAATAATAGAATACTGAGATATAAAGAAAAAACGTGAATAAAGGGATTTAATTTAATACTTATGATATACATTTAAGTACATAATATTTTCTTCGAATATTACTATTTTATACTCATTGTACACATAGACATGCAATTTTATTTACTAAATTAATAATAAATAATGTATTATTGTATATATAATAAAAAAATAAATAAACGTATGCTATTTATATCAAACATTTAACTAACACGATAACACCTCTTAATAATACAATAATAATATAAATAATCGTACAATTTAAAATTTAGTTTGAAGCCACAAGGAAATATGTATGGAAAGCACGTATTCAATGATGGGAGGGATTTGCCCCCCCTTCCCGAAATAATTTCTTTGAAAATTAAGTCAAATTATACACCTATTATTACAAAATATTTTTATTACTAGCTATTGATTAGTTTTCTTTTGTTTATATTAGTGGGTTATGAAATACAAGTTTATAATCTAGTATTATAGTCGAATAAAGTGATAACTAATTACTGAAAATTACGCATATGTGAGAACTGAACATTGCGATATAAGCCTTTATATACCTAGAAAACTCACATTTTGTCAATAATCTTTTCTTCGATGACTAAAAATTCCTATTAAATTGATAATTTATGTATTATTAAATCAATACTGTAAGGTACATTTTGGCCATATTATTTGTTACAACTGTTACTGCGAACGGTCATTCTCAACTCTACGAAGACTTAAAACGTAGGTACTTACAAAACAATATAAGAGAAATTATACTTACTGGATTAGCACTACTAAACATATATCGAAATTTTGATTTAAATGTGGTAGAAATTATCGATAGATTTGCTAAGTTATCAAAAAAATGGGATTTTATACTTAAATTTGTAATTTTTTAATGTATTGTATATAAATTGTTTGATTTTTTCTTCTATCTAAGTACTTAATAGTATAATATACTTAGGTAATTTTATGTGCATAGGCACTAATAAAATAAATGTCTGTTCTGGTCATAACATTTAAAGTTTTATTTATTATTATTATAATTGTTCTTATAAGCTTACTTCTGAACAAATGACATACATAAAATTTGGATACTTAGCATAATAATTGTCATATTAAAAAATAATGAGTAACGAGAAAGAAATTGTTTTATTATGTTGCGGTACAATTTGTATTACTATATTTTGTAAGCCCCCCCCCCCGAAATTGTATTTTGTATACGTGTCTAATGTATGGTGTTACAAAACAAAAAAATAAAATCTAATTTAAATTATAATACTTGACGTAAAAACCATATTATTATTTTGAAATCACTTTATTACAATATAAATATTTTACTTATAGTTTTCTTTGACAATAAAATATTATAGTTAGATATTTAACAAAATAATACATTTAGAAAACTAAATTAGATATTATTTTTTACAAAGCTTATTCTTAAGCCCTATAAAATATATTTAGACTATTTTAAACAGAGAAAATATATTATTTTTTAAAAGCATAATGTAAAAATATAAAACTAAGCTTAGAGTATTTTTTTATTCTTCTGGATTTTAAGCAGAGCAATAATTGTGAATAAAAGTAATAAATATTTATGTTTGAAATAATTATTTGATATAAATATTTTTAAACTTATGTCTATACAATATTAATTTAAAATTTAGTATGCAGTTAATTTTAACAAATTTTTTAGAGAAATGTTGTTAATGGTAGTTAACATTAGTTTGTTTGAATTTGAATTATTATTATTGATTTGAAATTGGATCGCTGTTTTATATTACGAACAGAATATCTGTTAATATACCTAAGTTTGAAGTGTGCCAAGTAAGGTTTTTTCACACTGAAAAAAATATAATGAACCATTTCAATAGTTCATTATAAAATATTTTTATATTATATTATATCTGTTATGATAATAAAGTGATTACGATATAAACACCTACATAGTATTATAATATTGATAAAATCAAGGTATAACTACGTCCTTCTTTATAAAAAAATTATACTTCTTGACTATGTGCCAGTTGTTATGAATTTATAAACCTTACATAATACACATATGTTATATTTAATAACCTTTAGTGTACTATATGATATTATAGCTCTAATTGTGTGCGTTTTTTCAGCATAGATAATATCGTTACACTAATGACAATTCCACGTATCTACAATTTGGAAACTTTTCAGGAGAAGCAAAAAACTATTTTACTTTGATTTGAAAACATTTTTTTATACTTTAATTATATTTTTGTATTAATTATTTGGTTTAAAATAGTTTTTGATCAAATTCCAAATTATAACTATTAATGCGAGTTTTTTAAGGTAGATACATGATGTTCACAAACAAATATTTAGTTACGTGTTATTGCATGTGTAGTTACGAGCTATTGCATATTTTAACTTCTTGATGCAATCAAAATAATAGTATGAAATACCACGTAACTAAATGAACATATTATAATAACTTTACAATCAATTACCAATAAGAAGTTTTAAGAATAAATTAAATACAAAATAAATAGGTAAATACTAGTAAAACTGTTGGGTATACTGTAGGTACCTAACCAATTACTTTACAAAATGTAATTATATAGCTAAATAATTGCTAAATTAAATTTTATTTATAGTATAGTAATTTAAAGTGAAATTAATAAAAATTAAATAGTATAATATTTAGTGTAACATAAAATAAATTGTTTATCAGACTTGATTTCATTTATTTAAAAACTTAAAATACTACTAACAAATTTAAAAATTATAAAAAAAATAACAGTATAATGTATTTAGTATCACATAAAATAAATTGTTTATCAGACTTGATTTCATTTTAATAATATTAAAAACTTAAAATACTAATAACAAAATTTAAAATTATAAACAATTATCAGACTTGATTTCATTTTAATAAATTTGATTTGTCAATTTAAATATTTCCAGTTGTGTCTCTTTTTGGTTCAATTGTAATAACCAGACTCAAAACATAAATTTTTTTCTCTTCCCATGAAGAGTTCCAAAATTTAAAAAAAATTTCTTTCCTTTGGCTTTCATCAAATTGATTACAAAAACGATTAACTGCTTTTAAACAAAATCTAGAAGTACACATATCTCCTAAACTTCTTGGTTCTCTTACAACATTATGCTCTACTACTTTCCCTTTTCGTTGAAATCCAATATATTCTTGGCCAGTCATTCTTTTGTGTTTATTATTTTTTCTTTTCCACTTTTCTTCTTGTGATGTTCTGTTTCGTTTTACGCCTATTACATTATCTGTGTTCATATTAATGTCTTCCAAGTAATATTCATTCTCATTTGTATTCATATTTATGTCTTCCAAATAATTTTCATTCTCATTTGTGTTCATATTTATGCCTTCCAAGTAATTTTCATTCTCATTCCTATTTTCATCAACTATAATATTATTATTAGCATATTCTGCAGGAACGTCCAATTCATGATCCTCATATTCTATAAAGATATCATCAGAAAATATATTTTCTAAAGTAAAATAAGGCTCTGACAAAATATTTTCTTCAATGTTTGGATCAAGTTCAATCTTATTCTGACTAGTATGCATTAGTTTATTTGATGTGTTGTCACCTAAATCATAAATATATTTTGATGTTTGAAATAGTTTAACATTAAAACAAATTATTTAATACATTATTACTTGATACTAATGGATTAGGTTGACGAATTTCATTTTTTAAAATTGTTTTTGATACAATAATTGAACTATTTTTTTCTATAGTAGCTCTGTCACTAGTAGACATATCCATCATTAATTTAATCCTTGATTTAGATGTCATTTTTACAACTTACTATAAGATAATAACATAAAATATAATAATAATATTATATTAAATCGTTGTAGGTAATATCACGTAACTACTAAAAAAATTTAAAATAAACGTGTATTACGACTGTGGAAAAATAGGTAATAACACGTATCTAAAGTAACAATAATTTGTACGTCTACGTAAAGTACTATGGGTCAATTGTTATTAAACAATGTTTTGTAAAAGATTTTACACTTAACCTACACACATCATATTACAAAAAAAAAAAATTAATTACCTGAGTTTTGACGCCAAATTATATAATATTGTTGATGACGGATGTTCACATTGAAAACACAATGCTAAATTGTGTAGTTACGTGTTATCGCAGTTCAAAAGTAGATACACGGTATCACTTAAACGTGATTTTAGAGGGAAATAACCATTGAACTCTATATGATAACTGGAATGCTCACCAGTCATAAGACCAATGTAAACATAACCGAGATAGCGTGTTAGAAAAAGACAGCAGATAAGAATGGTGTTGCTATCTTTTTTTATCACACATAGTTATATGAATTGATTACCAATACATTTTAAATTCGTTGTTCGTTTAACGTTTTGACTTTTGTTCTGCCTTCTGCGTTCTCAAAGTTTTAAAAATAATTAAAATAGTGTGTACCTACTGTGCAGTTAAGACTTAAAATGGTGAATTTTTGTAGTGCCTTTAATTGTGCTAGCTCTAGTGATGTTAGAAAAGACTTGTCATTTCACAAGTTAGTATTAAGTTATTATATGGTGTTATTGATTTTACTCATTGATATTTTTAAACAGATTTACATCTATTATTTTAATATTTAAGGTTCCCTCTTAAAGATAAAGAGAGGCTTCAAAAATGGGTGCATGCTGTTCGAAGGAAAGATTTTAAACCTAGTTCCAATACAACTTTATGTAGTTTACATTTCAATGAAACTGACTTCTATTCAGCAGTTGTAAGTGGGAAAAAAATGTTAATAAAATCTGCTGTACCAACTGTATTTGATTTGATATGGTTTCTTATTTAAATGAATATCTTGATAGTTTATTTTAACTGTAATACCTTTTTTATTAATTTATAGTTTTATTGTCATTACAGGAAAAATATCTAGCTGAAGTCAACTCAACATAAGTTACATTAGTTAACTTAACAGATCATATAACTCCAAGGTTATGAATATAGTTAAAGTATCTACAAAGTATCATAGTATCTTTAAATATTTATTTATTTTAGGAAATTTGGCCATGAAGTATAACAAAATGTATTGCAGATTTTGTTTTTCTGGATATTTCCAGTACTAATATTTCCTAAATTATAAATCTACAATATTAAGCTTAAGTTAGGAAAGTAGTAAGTACAATCTAAAGTAAGTAGTAGATATAGCTCCAGGTAAATAGCGTAAGTACACTTTTATTTCAATTATGATTAATATTATAAATACTATGTTTATATTTTAATAAATATTATTTTACTAAAAATGCAGTTGTTATTTCATATGCTTGAGTTATGAACTAAAACCTTCTAACTTTCAATTTACAACTTAATTTATTCCCAACTTAAAATTTCCTATTACTTCCTTTATATGACAAAAAAATGCAGAAGTCTACAAAAAAACATGTTTCAATACTTGTTATATTATTTTAAATTATAATTATAAACTAATAAACTATTTATTTATCATTTAATTATTTATATTTTATTAAATTAATAAAAAATATTTTGTGGAAGTTAAAAAAAATAATGAGGTGCAACTACATTTTAAGAACCAAACTAAAATAATATCGCGGTAAAATATGAAATTAAGACATTAGCGCCATGTGCAAGACAAAGATAGTAACACCATTAGTATGTGCTATCTCATTCTAACATCCTCTTTCGGGCAACACTGCTTGGTGAGCATTCCAGTTATCATATAGAGTTCAATGGAAATAACAAAGATTTATATGTAGTCTTTGGTTATAAAATATGTGCGCAAGGAGCTTAAAAATTTTTTGATGTATAATACTCATTTTTGATAAAATGTCAGTTACGTGGTATTGTCATTAGTGTAACGATATACGTATTTTATCGAATCAAAAGAACTATTAAAATATTTATATTTTTCTAACACGTTTGATCTTGCACGTGCAAAACTGAAAAATATTAACTATTGATTTAATAAGGTTCCAAAATATCTATTTATAGTATTATCATATCACTTAATGCTATAATGCTATAATGCTCAATATAATATTATTTTACTTTAAGTAGGATTTTCTGGATAGCTATATAACATTGAACTAGGTTAGTATGTAATTAATTATAGTTAACTACTTCTAGAGATTATAATATGATATATTAGTCTTATTAATAAATATAGATAGGTAGTATGTCCTTAAATTGAGAATATTAGTCAAGAGCATTATATTAATTTCCACAGTGAAATTTAGTAGAACACAAAATCTATAAAATAATATTGTCAGGATAAATTTATAAAAGTTTTATTGATTTTATTTTTAAATATAAATAACTATAAACATCTATACGGACAAAAAACTATTATTATTCTTACTCGAATAATTCATACTAAAATATAGGTAGCATATAAAATAAAATATATACAAAAACTTTGTATGAAAATAAGAAAACTTTGATCACCCAATATAAATAAAAAAAAAAAAAAAAAAAAAATAGTAAAAATCAACTGAACCAAACGCTTAATTTATTTTATAGTATTTTACGTACATTTTAAAACCCGATAAGTTTTTTAAAAAAATGAACTATGGATAAATATTTCTAAAAATTAGAAAATATTAATAAGATAGTATTTCAGTGTAAAATTAATAATTCTAAACTGTTCAAAATTTTTTTTAAAAAAACTATAAAAAGACAAGTGAACAATTAAAACAAAAAATGTATTTATAAATAGGAATTAGGTAAGTATTATAAACAATATTATATTATTTTTACTAAATTATATTTACCATAGAATTCAAAGGCTCAATGATTATCTTTTGTAATATCACAAAAAATTTTAAACAAAAATGTTCTGTTAAAAAAGTAATTAAAAATTTATATCGTTATTTGATTATTTTATCAAGTTCTCATTTTATATTTCTAACGCTATAGATTTCCAGTGTTCAAAGTGCAACACAAACACAATTAATTAAATATTTTAAAATTGTATTCCATATTAGATTGGCTAACAACATTATACTTAATATATAAAATATAACTATTAAACATCAAGTCTTCGACTATGATGGATGTACAATAACCTAATCGCTAAGATTACCTATGTATATAGAGGATACGAAACATATTTAATCCAGATAACTAATATGAAATTTTTTATAGACTTGTATTATTTGGTTCTCTTGTGTTAGTTTTCTTTTATAAATTTAACTATTAAACGAAAAATGACCTAAACATAATTAAACTCTACGTGCAACATTTCATACATTATTCTACACAATATAAGACGTGCCAAAATCGTAACTTAAATAAAAAAAATCCATTGAGAATAACAAATGGCGTTTGATACAAGAGACATTTAAAAACAATGCTGCTTATTTTTATTCTTATTATTATTTATTTTTTTTTTTTTTAACGGACGATTGTTTAAAATTAAAACTTGATAGGTATCTTTTTTGGTGGACCACAATTTTTATGGTCATAAGTCGTAGACCCTACTACGCAGTATTTATTTATGTAGGTATATGTATTTTTCCATTCAATTTTCAGGCAACTGTTGCGATTAAAAAATGCGGCGAACTAGGTTTTATTATACACAAGTAAGCGTAACTATAAGTAGACATATTAGAATATTATTATAATAAAGTCAATGTGTATATAGGCATGTAATAATACCTATCGTGATCGTCCTTTATTCACGCACGACTTGCACAAGTCATTATGATACATATGTTCTGAGCACTATCATTTAAATTTTTTATAGGTAGATACCAACATCATAGATTGAACATACTACATATTTTTACTACGTTTAGCCAGGATAAAATTTAATTTATTTGTTAAATTCTTTTTTCTGGATAAATATCGTCGTATCTGCAGTTATTAGAAAATCAAAAAATTCCCTATAGTCACAACTAGCCAAATAAACATTGATTTTTGATAAAAATATATTTTATTTTTATACAAGTATAAAATGTTATAATTTATTTAATTATTGTAGATGAAAATGATATAGTGATGTGATAAACCGACTATACTCCGAAGTTTATAACAATATATAGCACAGTAGCGAATTCAGGATTTAATTTTTTTTTTTTTTTTTGTAGGGAGGCTTAGTCCAAAATACAGTGATAATTTTAGGGAGTTATTTCCTTATTCACAATTATAATATTTGTTACTATTGAATAAATAAAATCTAACTTAGGTCAATGGGGGGCAAAGTCCCTCAGGTTCTCCCTTGAATCCGCTACTAATATAATAGATAATTATATACAATATAAAATTGTATTTGTCCTATGTTTAAATATTTTAATGCAAATTAACTATGTTTATTTTTTTTTATATAAATAGTTATTCACTAATTATGCTCATCCCTACTTTTCTTTTAATTTTTAATTTGTTCAAATCCTTATTTTTGAAATTTTAAATATACTTATTTAAGGGTATGTATTCGTATTAGGATATCACTATACAAGGACCATATTTCCCATTATTTAGATTTTTCAAACATTTAAGAAGTTTACACTGTTTTCAGTAATAGCAATTATTTTCGTTCAAATGAAAATCACTTTGTTTTTCATACATTGTTAATCAGTTAACTATTTTTCAAATGATAATATAATATTATCTGAATTTAAATTAAAATGAATAGTTTTTAGTCATTTAATTTTGTTTACTAAGAATAGGTATATGATAATATTCTTGGAAAATATTGAAGCTATGATTATTTAAAAATTATAGCAATAGATATTGAGTTATTACTTATAACCAATGAATCATAATATATATTAACATATTGAAGAATTTGTAAAAAATATATAAACAAAATTTAATCCGGATTAATAATGATATAATATTTTTAATTTTTGTAAGACAATTTTAAAAGGCTATTATGCCGTTATACTCAATGAATTAATATACTTGTACATTTTAATAACACAGATAAAAATTCACTATTGATTTAAATTTTAACGGTATGAATAAATAAATAAAAAAAACTTCTGTTTAAATCAAAGAAGGTTTAAAAATTAATATAACAAGCTGAATTCAATAATGTGATAAAGAATATATCATTGGAATGTCGACAATGTTATTATTATTTATTGGAAAAATAAGATAACACATGAGTTATTATATTATACAATTTTTTATGTTAAACAATCATTATAAGAAAGCATTAATATTAATAAGTACCTAACAATTGATGTTTTAGTAAAGTCTTGTGTGAGTAACAATGTAAAATTTTATGATTATTAGTCGATTTTTTTTTTTTTTATTATTATTCTCAACAAAATTGTTGGAAGATAGTTAACAATATAATTATAACGTATTTATTATAAATATATTTTTAAAACATTGTAGACTTGAACTGAATATATCGCCCACGCCTTGATTCTAGTACATTACCTCATGAAGGAACCTCATTTTGGCCACAATAATTTGATTTATACTTACTACTTTTAAATATACTTATATACATAATATATTATTATCTATATGGCTATATACATACAGTTAGTGAGGATTTTATTTTTTTAACATAATACTAGTATAGCTTAATTTGAAAAATTAAATTTAACTTCGAGTCATAATTTGAATTTAAAGTGCAATTTTTATCATTATTAAGTCTCAAAATACATAATCTATTAGATTTTATGGGTTTTATTTTTATTTTTAGTAGATTTTTATCAACATTTCTTATAGAACGAGTACGCCCCAAAATTTTTATATGATCCAATACATCGATTAAAATGGTAATTTTTTTTTTATTTATTTATTAAAAATATAACATTTATAATCTGTAAAGTCTTTTGCGTAATGAGTAAATTTACGGAACACATAACATAAACAAAATATAATAGACAAGAACATGTGATAAGGGAAGCCATCCAATAATATAGGGATTTTCTATTTATTTGTGATTTTGAATTAAGCGCCTAAATTAGGAGATCGCGACACCAGCGTTTTTTAAAACGACGTGGGAATTATCAGGAATCGTTAAAGAATATTTTACACAGATTTTTGTTTTTTTTTTTTTTTTTAATTAGGTACTTATCGACTCCGAAATTGCGGTGAGTTTTATTGCACATTAGTTTTAAATTTAAATTACGTTAAGCTAATTTTATTTTAATTCTAAAACTTTGCAATATAAACTGAATTTTTATTTTAAAATTGCACAGAAATATTATTATGATAACAATTTTAAATTTAATATTTATTAAAATAACTGAGTTTATAATAAAACGTTATTTGTATATATTTATATCATAATAATCTAACTACATTCTCTTTCCATAACACAAGG